GCACATTAGAACACCACCCTCTCCAGGGGTTGACACTACCATACATTTGTGCAGAACATTAGAACATATCCTTCTCTAGGGGTTCACAATACCATACATAAAGTGCAGCACTTTCGAACAAAACCTTCTCTAGGGGTTCACACTACCATACATTTGTGCAGAACATTAGCACACCACCCTCTCCAGGGGTTCACACTACCATACATGTAGTGCAGCACATTAGAACATATCCTTCTTCAGGGGTTCACACTACCATACATATAGTGCAGCACATTAGAACATATCCTTCTCTAGGGGTTCACTTTACCATACATGTAGTGCAGCACATTAGAACATATCCTTCTCTAGGGGTTCACACTACCATACATATAAAGCAGCACATTAGAACACCACCTTCTCCAGTGGGGTAACAAGCTGCAGTACTATGAAAAGCACATGAGGCCACTTCATGCAAATGGGGTAGTCAGAAAGTGCATCTGGCAGATTCGACTACAAAATAATCAATATCCCTTTGCTCATCAGAGATTAGACCACATAAAGCATAAGCCATTAATACTCTAGCATATGTTACAACTGTCACATGGCATATCTATCCTGTATCCATTTTCCTCTCACCAGCTGTGACACTGTTCTGACTTGCCTCAGGACAAAATATTCGTTAGAATGTGCAAATTAAACTGAGACAATGGATCCACATTTTTCTTATAATCAATTACACAATGCCAAAAACAATGTATACACAAAATCGAGGGTGATTGATTTCAAAATGTGTTGTATTATCAACTTGGTTTCAATAATAACATTCAAGACCCGAGAAGGTCCGGGTAGAATTGATATTCAGTGAGGTGAGGTGAGGTGAAATTGGGTTTAACGTCGTGCTTGAGAATATTTCGCTCATATGACGACGTGCATGTGTGTGTATGTGTATGTGTGGCTGCTTGTACTAGCCCAGACTTAAGCTGGTTTTATAGTGCTAGCCCACTGAGATACCATGCCGCAGTGAAGCATGAATATCCCACTCAGACACATTATACTGACTCCGAGCCGACCAGTCCTTGTTGTACCCATTAATGCCGAGCGCCAGGCAGGGACCAACAAGTACCATATTTTAACGTCTTTTGATATGACGCGGTCAGGGATCGAACCCGCGACCTTCCGCTCTCCCGGTCGGACGCTCTAACCACTACACCACGGAGGCAGTTTGTGGCTTTTAGACAATATACATTATACGAAAGAGTTAATTAATGAGTTATGGGTTTGTAATAGGTGCCCCAAGGTCTGACCGAGGATGCAGGCAAACATCTTGTGACATCCCTTTTTGATAGTGATTCATAAACATATGATTATGATATGGAGTGAGTGAGGATGGTTTAACGCCGCTTTTAGCAATATTCCAGCAATATCACGGCGGGGGAAACCAGAAAGGGGCATCACACATTGTACTCATGTGGGGAATCGAACCCGGGTCTTTGGCGTGACGAGCGAACGCTTTAACCGAATCCAGGACAAACCCCCAAAAACCCCAAAAAAACAAAACACCCCGGACATTATCCCCCCATCCTTAACATAAAAACGGACAAAATCCCCCCTGCTCATCTTTAGCATTGGCATTGTATCAAAATGTCACAAAATGTATGAATAAATGTGTGCTCATTGGCATTGTATAAATATGTCAAATAAAAATAAATGTGCAATGAATGATGTGAAAAATGTGCTCAGAATATGTGCTATGTGCTCTTTGACCTTGTTGAATGTTGAAATGTTAACAAATAAATAAATGGATATCATAAACTCTTGACTGGTTTGGGGGGAGAGAGAAAGAGATTTTGTCCATGGGGATTTTGTCCTACAATGCACTTTTGGGGGGGGGGTTTGTCCGGTTACCACTTTAACCAATAGACTACCCCACCACCCCTCTTGTGATATGGACATTCTTATGATTCTTCTTGGATGGAATAGAACAATGAACTTTGTTGTCAGCAGAGGTTTCTGATGATTATGGAAAGGATTTTGTTGCTTCACATATGTATAAACGCTACTGCCATTGATTGTCTACAGTCTTGTTTCCATCTTGCCTCAGGTTCATTCAAATCCAATTGCTTACATTCACTTACATGAAAGGGTATTTAAAAGAATCAGAAACAGACACATTACATCTGCAGGTTTTCAGGGTTAAATAAATTAATGACCAATGGTGTACAACAGCGTATGGGAATTTGGAAGCAATGGCAAATAACCACACCAACCTCCACCTTTACGTATGTTAAGCACCATAGAGGTTATTTCTTTAACATGTTTCGTCCCTTTCAGAGCATATACCCAAAGCTAACTGTCTAGATCAGGGACAATATATTCTTGATGACAAAATTGGATGTCATAAGACACAGAGAATATACTTCCTCACTTGATCATGTTTTTAAACTCCACAAATATATCCCCAAAGGGAAGGCTAACAAAATAGGGATGAACACCTTCTTTACGTATGTATGTGCGTGTATATGTTGTGTAAGTGGGTGTGTATGTATGTATGTATGTGTGTGTGTGTGTGTGTGTGCGTGCGTGCGTGGATGTGTGTGTGTGTGTGTTGTGTGTGTGTGTGTGTGTGTGTGTGTGTGTGTGTGTGTGTGTGTGTGTGTGTGTGTGTGTGTGTGTGTGTGTGTGTGTGTTGTTTGTATTTATGTATGTATGTAAGTGTCTATGTATGCATGTGTCTATGTATGTATTCAGGTATGTATACGTCTATGTATGGATGAATTTATGTATGAAGGTATCTTTGAAGTTATCTATGTTTGTACGCATCGATGCTAGTATTTAAATATGTACCTATGCATGTATCTAAGTGTGTATATATGTCAACAATCTTTTCATATTTTTTAAACGCATTTTAAATATTGCTGATATTCTTTTTTGAGGTGTCATTTCGGCCTCTCGAGGCCTGGTGTTTGCATTTTATATGCTGTACTATGCTGTCCCATCATTTATAACACATGACACTATAATAAACTACTATTATTATTATTATTATTTATTGCTGGCTCTCACAGCAATAAAGAAGTTGTTCACTCCTTATACTCCTATTAATATTCACTGATTTAACAATAGCAATTAGGACAAAGACGGAAATGTTCATATTCTGCAATTCCAATTTTTCATAGAAAGATGAAACATAGAAAGCTCTCATTTCAATTCAAAATGTCCACACTGGCAAGTGTCCAGATTATGAAGATACAGAGCATGTAATTTCTTTCACACCGTTGTCAGATTTTGAGGTATTTAGGCATTTTTTCTGTATTTTAGAAATGTGAATTATCTGGAATGTTCACATGATATGTAAACATATATCATAGTAAAAGAATATCCAGTCTTGACTATCCTTAGAAACAGATTTTTGATAGAGAGTTTCCAAATGACATAATGACCGTATTCTGCTCACATCCATCTTTTATCAATACAAACTTACATCTCCTAGTAAATTTATATGTAATAGGTGTACCATATCACATAACAGTACTGATAACATAGTATATGACTTATTGTGAGAGTACATAAGTATATTATAATGAACAGATAGTTCATTAACTTAATTGCAGCCATTACTTGTATATTGTGAAACTAAATTATCAGTTTTGATTATTGTGAGATGAAAGACATATTTCCACACTTAATTGATCATGATTGTATGATGGTTTGTTGTTTCAATGATAACTGGTTTGTTGATCTTGTGTCTACTAAAACTCTGTTGTGTTTGGAAATGAGGGACAGGTGTGAAATGAACATGAGTGTGTACATTGCAATTAGGCTCTTAAATGGTATTATTTTAAATCAAGGAGTACACAATAGCCACCAATCTGTTGACACCTTTCACCTTGGTCATGGCTACATGCTGATTGCAATTGCAATTGACTAATGTCAAAACAACCCAATCTGGAACCAATGTCAATTTTCAAATAATTGAATAACCTTTTGTTACACCTCTCAAAACAGTACCTTTGGAGTGGTTGCCAAAGATGTTTGACTAACCTCTTTCAAGTTAAATGCCTGAGGGTTAAATAGGTGTTAATGTCTCAAGGTTCAATTAAACTATGCAAACAAGTGCATTTCTAATGAGCTGGTGTTTTTATTCATTTCTATCAGACATATTAATGAGATTTCAGAACCAAGTCATGTTATCTTCCCACCCAAAGTGTTAGTTTATGTGGTACGACAATGGGAACTGAAATGTATCAAATTTCAAATATATATAAGATGAGTCAAAGTTGAATTTAATATGAAAAACGAGTTGTACAAATTATGCTCACAAAGAGCAGAACATGGCGGTAAAGGTACTTAAACGACCTATATTCACGCGTAAACGGTATGTTGGTGAGCCATCAATAATACACAAAATAAACACGCAGTAGACATTGAGTATTTTTAACTGACAAACATGCACCTGTGCCACAATGTCCATTGCAGGAATATTCATCTACAAAGTAGGTCATTCGAATAGGAGCGAAAGCATCATCGTTGTCCCACAAGCGAAGGCATATAATCATTGAAATTAGGCATATCATTCTTAGAAATGATCGTTTTACAAGCAACATCGTTGAAAATTACCCTTCCGCTTGCTAATACGATTCTATGGTGTCAAATGACATCATCGCTTGAAACCACTTGTATGTAGAACCACTTGTGGCTAGAGGGCGAACCTAAAGCCAATCTGAATACGTGGTTCTGCAATACACCCAGCTGAGGAAAACAAAACGATAGAATAAACAAAAAGGTGATAGAATATCCAGCAAAGATACTGTCGCAGATGGGATTAAATATCTGAAGATATGTTTATCACAACAAGCAACACATCATGAAATGCCAAAGCAACCCTTCTCGGATATACACAACGCACAAAATGAGAGAGGTGGATAAATGATACCACAGTCAATATTTCCCAGTCAAGAAGGAAAGGGGGATAAAATGATAATAGATGATAAAAATTCCGGAACACAACATTCATTTTTTACCTTGCATTCCGTTACACCGTGAGTTGCCAGTTCCACCCTTGCAAAGTTCCCCTTGCCCAAGGTCTGACCGTTCATAACATATCTTCCAATGCATTGAATTTTTTTCCCCATTGCTGTCTATACTATTCGTGAATGTCTCCTCTCCATCCTGAATGTTGCCCGCTTGTCATCATCGCCGGCAGGATTTCATAATATCCCCGGGACTCCAGTACACATGATCATAGAACAGAGTAATATCTCAGTATTTCCCAGCGCTACATTATGGCGGCTCAGATCCCTTGAAGACTCGCCTGCTTGTATTGGACTGAGAGTTGATAGCGACAGGATCCGATTGTACCGCGGCAACAGTCTGTCAGTTGCGGTATCATTCCATCAGACGCAGAGAACACAATTCACAGGAAGGTTGAAACACGACAGAAAGCAACATCCATTTGGTGTGTCCGTGTCATAACTCCGGTCGTTAGTAAGAAACCGCTAGTGCCAAGCAAATACAGTGCAAACCCACTATCCATTGGTCCGCTTACCTAAATGTATCCACATATCAAATATAATTGCAAACGCGAAACAATCCACCAATAAAACGTATTTGCTGCAATTAACATCGGAGACCAGAAGCTCTGTTTATTTACTATACTTGTCCATTATTTTAATTCATGCCGCACGTGCAAACATAAATTTCCACCAATGCCACCTTGCCAACGAAACACCAGTCCTACCATCATTAACCGGTCACATGATGCCGATCTTTATGAAATATTTATTCGCACGCCCTCGGCCAGGTCACGTGATGTCCCGGCTGCCATGGCAACCTCGAATCAAAGACAAATCGATGTGTATAGCATCGATCTCCGTTGGGTTAGGCAGGCCTGGCTCCAGCGCTGACTGTGGCGAGGCAGAGGACGACGTAGGCTCAAAAAGCGAATATCTACGCATATGCAAATATATACTCAATTTACAAATTGTTGTAACAATACCGGGTCATCATACTCGAGCTAACGGTAAAGGAAATATACGTCATTGGCCTTGATGCCACTAACAATGTACTGAAGCTTGGCTGGGAACAGTCTATAGAGTTTTAATTGATGTGGTTACAGGATGGTGTTGCGTGTCTCAGTTTTCTTCTTGCACTTTCGGGGTCAGATTCGGAGGTCATATGCATTGTTGGTAAACTGGATTTCCTTGAAATACGACCGCTAGGGCTGATCATGGGCTTCCAGAGGAGCATTGTGTCAAAGGGTCTCAAAGACGACTTGAAGGACAATAGTCTTTTCCTTATGAAGAACATATTTCCTGACTTGTTGAGAGCAATGAAAGTCATTTTCCAACCAAATCAACCGTAGCGAGGCTCATTGACCCACTCTCCAAACTGAACCATCTGCCAACCGTTATAATGACTCTTATTAATTCTTACTATTCTATGACTGTCATTGTTGAAACGTATATCAATATTTCACGATATTATTCATTCAATCAATATTTTACAGTCTGGTCCCTTATACTACGAACAGATTACATAAATGTAACTGACTAAGGTCCCGTCTCTGGGAACAATTGCTCATTTCGACATAACTGCTTCATTAATCAGCGCGTCTTCATGAATGGACATGTTGGTCATTTGTACATGTCTTGGTCCCATTCAACCCAGCTGTGATTATTAAGGATCTCGAATAGAGGCATTTGTTGGAAATGAATGACGTGAATTGTCAGTCGTTATGACGGGTACCATCGGTTTTGATATTCCACGGATGGAAACCCAGGAATGGTTCCTCATGGGGGAGATAATGAAGGTATTGTTTTGTTGTACTTTTAGCATACAGTGCATGAATTATCGACTGTGAAGATATGCGATAATGGCATTGCACGGAGTAATGTCAAGAAGGCGTCACATTCATTATGGTTTTAATGGATCTCAATGAGCTGAGCTTGAATTTGCATGAATGAAATTTATTTCATGTATTTATTTTTTAAGAACACTGTAGTGTTCAGTGAATACATATCGATTTATGCTAAACAACCACTGTCATTACAAGTTGGATTTGTTATAGAAGTCTTGATGGTTATGATCTGTGCTGAGTTGCTGGAATATCTGGCATGTGGACCAATATTGGGGGGGTTTCACAATCCAAAACGGAAAACACTACTACTACTTCTACAACTACCACTACTACTACTACTGCTGCTGCTACTACTACCACTACTACTACTTCTACAACGACCACTACTACTGCTGTTGTTGGTACTACTGCTACCACTACTACTACTACTGCTACTGCAGCTGCTGCTACAACTACTACTACTTCTACAACTACCACTACTACTACTTCTACAACGACTACTACTACTACTACTACTACCACTACTACTACTTCTACAACGACCACTACTACGGCTGTTGTTGGTACTACTGCTACCACTACTACTACTTCTACAACTACTACTACTACTTCTACAACTACCACTACTACTACCACTACTACTTCTTCTACAACGACCACTACTACTGCTGTTGTTGGTACTACTGCTGCTACTACTACTACTTCTACAACTACCACTACTACTACCACTACTACTTCTTCTACAACGACCACTACTACTGATGTTGTTGGTACTACTGCTGCTACTACTACTACTTCTACAACTACCACTACTACTACTACTACTACTACTACTACTACCACTACTACTACTACTACTACAACCACTACTACTACTACTGCTACTACTACTGCTGCTGCTACTACTGCTACTACTACTACTACTACTACTACTACTACTACTACTGCTGCTGCTGCTGCTGCTGCTACAACTACTATTACAACTGCTGCTGCTGCAAGTATAAAGTTGTCCCACTCAGTGCCATAGGTTTGGTACCTCCCAATCAGTTCACCAGCATCAGATGAGTGCCCGGATTTGCTACCAGGAACACGGCCCTTCTGTGGGTAGGTAATGCAGAAGGCTGCAGTGTTAGGGAAGTCTTCACAAAACTCCTGAAAGTTCCTGATGGGTTCGACAAGGCAGCACTTCCTGCTCTTTGGGCTGATTGTAAAGGGACAAAATCCCTGAGCCGAAGATGAGCCTTATCGGCCTGTGACAGGATCACCATAACCTACTTTGCTGCATGTATTTTAATTTAATTTGTAAATCATGATAAAAATGGGAGGAAGAAAAGAATGGGAAGGAAAAGAAGAAGAAATAAGTCCATTTATAATACGCCACTGCACTCGAATGAATGTGTTCTTGTAGGTTCATCATCTTAAGCCCGGTCAGTCGACCAGTTTGTACTTAATATTCATCTGAACTCCATGGGAAGTATACATTCAGGCTGTGAATACTTTGGTGAAACCAGCGAGCAAATATTTGGGTGAAGCCAGGTAGTAAATACTTTGAAAAACGTGGGAAGTAATACTCTGGTAAATCCATGCAGTAAAAAATTTGGTGAATATAATTTGTTTTTGGTATACCACCCTCTGATCAGTCCACGCCAACCATTTATCTAACATTTTATTAATTATGACACACAGACAGACAGACAGACAGACAGACAGTTTTATTTCAGTATATAAGGCCATGGCCGACATTACAGAATAATTTTACATTTTGTTTGATGCTGGTAAAACCAGTAATAATCATACATTATTGCCTTTGAAAGCTATGGAACCATATTTGCACAATGCACAGGCATAATATACCCTTCTAAAGAAAAAGTAGCAATACTTATCAAAACATCATCCTTAGATGACACAAGTCTAACAAAATTATCCTTACACGGGTTACCAATGGTAAGGTGGAAAACATTCTATCTTATGCATCTTTTAAACATTGACAATTAAATGGTATTCCTCTTCAACTACTGGTATAGCAATATAAACAGAGTCTATTACAGTACAGTGTATTATGCCTCCCTGTTACAGTTGGAGGTTGGAAGCTATTATATCTGGACTAGCTTAAAACATGTTTATAATACTGTAGAATATATCTAAGGAAATATATCTTTCAATTTGCACAAGTGTCATAAAGTGACAGACAGTATTGTTGTTGTTGTTTATTAATTATTGTAATACTGAACAGCAGTATCTACTGGTAAAAGTATGATGTTTCTTGCCTTTAAATGGTTACGAATGTACGAATTATACGACTTTTAGGATACTCTCATAGTCGCCTGTAATTTCAGCCGACATTTACTCCTCAGTGATATGATTTTAAAATCAATTTCTAAGCACATCAAGTACCTGAAAAACAAAATCGCGATTGTTTCTCGAACGAGCAATCTATCGGTTGATGATATGGACAAATCGAAACACGTCATCGTCATATGACGTCACAATCAGACCGTATGACGACGATCACTCGAGTGTCACTCGTTTTTTACGATAAACACATCGTACTTCCAGGCCACGTGAAAATGATGAATGACATGACCCTAGGGGAATTGGAGCTCACATGACCCAAGTCTGGAATATAGGTATACAGATACAATGTGTGTATATTACAGTTATAACTGTCATGTGTGAGATTAAAGCACTAATGAATGAGAGAAGAATCAATTCTCCATTATGTATTGCCCCCAGTGTGTTATATCATTCCATAAAACTTTAGTCTCAAGCCAATCCCAAGTAACTCTAACGATCTAGTTACCGTCCTATAAAATAAACGAAAAACTATTCATGGGCGTAAATGTAAAGTTTGTACGTATTTTGTACTGTCGTCAGATAGGCACTGCCACTATTGACCAACCAGTTTTGAAGAAAATACAAAATTGTTTAAACCATACGTATTTTGTCTAAAATTGAATCGTGAAGTCTATTTATTTGAAGAGGTATGTATAATAGTTAGTCTATCGCTCAGTAACACAAAACCCTAGCAGGAAATTTTGTTTGAAGTAACCACGTGTCATTAGGTATGAAAACCGTTTTTTGTAGGCGTTCTTTCAAGCATACCACTTGGTTTACTTCCCTGGTATTGGTTTCCCCGGGAATTGTCCTGCAACAAAAGTTTCTGCATGGCAGTTGTCTATTTCCTTAAGTTCAAGGTGATCTACCTTTTGTTTGTTGTCCTGTAATCCAGGAAGAATTTCATAGAGGAGTTATGTAAAGTACTTCGCATGTAATCTGCCGTTGTCATAATCATGCAGTGATCTGGATCAGAGTTAGTGAGTGAGTGAGTATGGTTTTACGCCGCTTTCAGCAATATTCCAGCAATATCAGGGCAGGGGACACCAGAAATAGGCTTCACACATTATACCAATCTGGGGGGATCGAACCCTGGTCTTCGGCGTGACGAGCGAACGCTTTAACCATTGGGCTACCCCACCGTCCCTTTCTAAATCGACCGCCTCCGTGGTGTAGTGGTTAGAGCTTCCGCCCGGAGAGCGGAAGGTCGCGGGTTCGATCCCCGACAGCGGCATACCAAAAGACGTTAAAATATGGTACTTGTTGGTCCCTGCCTGGCGCTCGGCATTAATGGGTACAACAAGGACTGGTCGGCTCGGAGTCAGTATAATGTGTCTGAGTCGGGTATTCATGCTTCACTGCAGCATGGTATCTCAGTGGGCTAGAACTATAAAACCAGCTTCAGTCTGGGCTAGTACAAGCAGCCGCACATACACATACACACGCAAGCACGTCGTCATATGAGCGAGATATTCTCAAGCAAGACGTAAAAACCCAATTTCACCTCACCTCACCTTTCTAAATCATAACAAGTC